TTTTGAACCATGGTCAAGTGACGTGGACGACACCTGAGCTGGCACACCCCTCTCCTAACTACCACACAAACGGGAGGACGTTTCAGCTCTCGACAGATTTAACGTGCATCGCTGCCCTACATGGCGGCTCTTTAGTGGTACTGGGCTTGAACTCGTGACAAGGCAAGTCATGGTCCGATACCTATACCACTGGGCTACCGCGGCCACCCAGGGCAGAAAGTCCACCATTATTGTATCATGCTCCTTTTGATTTTGTCGATTTTCGGGAACAAAAAACACTAAAAAACTAATTATTGAATAAATAATAGCTTTAAATTAAAAAAATATATTAATAACAAATATTTAATTAAATTTTGCATACTAAAACTTATAATTATAATCAATCGGGAAAAAATCAAGGGCTTTGGGGGGGCCAGACTCTAGGATCCCCCCTTTGTGTGCTCCACTGTTCATGGATCATATGCATATACAAAATTATCCTAGTCATTTTCTCCGTAATATATTTGAATAAATAAAAATCTGAAGTATCTAACGAGATCAAGAAATCAGGGCATTATAAACTCAGAGATGCAGAAGAAAGAGTCCAAGACTCTTTTTCATTTCTTCATAAAAAAGGATTTAGTTCATTTGTTTATTAACATAGAAAAAGGAAATCAGTATCTAAAAAAACGTGATTATTTGGATGAAAAATTCCTTCTATGTAAGATTGAAGTAAAAATTATAGCACTATGCAGGAAAATTGATTACACACCTAAAAACCTCAAAATAAACAATGACTGGGTTTTTTGAATTGTATGGGGGAAATGAAAAAAGGGGCTTTTTTTGGTTTTATTTCTGGGATCAAATGTGATCTTTTTTAAAATTTGAGACATTTTTAACGGTTCTAATTTCCCCTTTGGATGATTTTATTTTTTGCTAAGCGGTGTTTGGGTAAAAAAAAAGAAAAAATTTTTTAAACCCCAAATAAATTTTAAAAATATCTTTTTTTGATCCCTTTTTAGCATTTGCACAGGCGAAGAAAAATTCTGGAGAAAATTAAAAAAAAAATAACCCTTTTTTCTCTCCGTTTTAGAAGTGTGGCAGGGGAGCCTGGGGGTTAAAGGTAAACTCGTAGCTCACTTGCCCTGATTTCCCCGGCAAAGTACCACAAAAAGACCCACCCGTGTGGGGGCGTGCACGTTAAATCGGTCAAAGCTAAAAATGTCCCTCCTTTGGTGGGGTTTTCCCAGGGGAAAAGGAGGGGATGCCGGCTCGGATCGCCCCTCGTCCCCCGGGCAAAAGGGGAAGGTCCCCCCCAAAGAACCCCGGAAACCCAAAAAGTGGGGCGTTAATTTTCCCCACTCTCTCTCTTAAGTAAAAAAAAGAAATTTTTAAAAAAAGAATGAAATTTTAACATTTTATAAAAACTTTTTTAATACCCGGTTAAATTTTTCTTAGGGGAACAACTTAAATAAAATCCCGAAAAAAATTTTTTAAAAATTTTTTAAAAGGATACTCACACTTTCCTCAGTTACTTTTTTTCTATCATTTATCAGTCTTTCTCTGAAAAAGAATCATCAAAATTGAGCATCTATATAGCAATAAAAACAATAACTTCTATGATAATTATAATTCACCTTAATTCAAGTTTCCCGTGCTTTCCCAGTTTACTTTTCAAAACATTTAGGTGGTAAACTTAATTCAATATATTGTATGCAAAATTTAACAAAAACCAAAACAAGGAAAAAAAAAACCCGGGGTGTAATTCGAAACCTGTATTCATTAAAAAAGTTTTAAGATGGGAAATTTTTGTTTTTAACCCCTAATCTCATGGAACTTTTTCTCGATATTAATCCGGTGATTAATGCAAAAAATGGGGTGTTGAATTTCTGATGGGGGAATAGATATGACCGCACTTTCCCTTTCTCGTTTTAAAACAAACCAATAGCTTATAACTTTTTTTTTTAAAATCTTAAATACTGAAAAAAATTCACCGATGTAATTAAGAAAAAAATTTCCCTTTTTAACTTTTTTTCAAAAAAATTTTCCCAAATAACTAAATTAAATTGTTTTAAAGCAAAAAGGAAAAAAATGTACACAAGTTTTAAAAAATAGTAAAAAAAAAGTTTAATATAATTTAAGGTTTCAATTTATTAGATAAAGGTTTGATTTCATTATAAATGATTATTTTTGTTTTAATAAAATTTAATGAAAATAATTGTATAATGCTAAATGAGGTTAAAATTCTTCCTAAGACATTTTTTTTTAAACCGGGGACACTCAAAAAAGAAAAATTCCCGATTTATTTTGTACGAATAAAAATTTTGAATACGTAAAAATTTTTTATTTTTTAATAAGATTACTAAATTTGTATATCTACGCTTTTTAACATTTAATCGAAACTGCAAGCAAAAAAATTCTAGTTAAAAAACCCCTTTCCCAGATTTTTCTCCAGGCCTTTTCGAAAATTCCCCCGGTATTACTCCCGGGGTAATTTTTTGGGTCCCTCGTATTGTTTTACCCGAAATATATATGGGGGACGTTTATTTCGGCTTTTATCTCTTTTTTCCCAAAAACCCACTGATTCTCCGGGGGAAAAATTAATGTGCGCTTCCCAAAAGATGGCAACGCCACTGAAGACTTTAAAAGGGTTTGAGGTTAGAAGTTCTTTGGTTCAAAAAATTTGACAAATTTTTGAACCCAAATCATCAAAATAACTTGACAGTTAAAAGGGTTAAAAAACACCTGACTGAGCCCTTTTATCCACACTTATGAACGAAGACACAATCTGTTTTAATCAAAAAATTTCTATAACATTCTCTTGATAATTAAAATATATTAAAAACATATTACACCCTTACCCCTTTATTTATGCCAAAAAATAAATTTAAAGTTCAATTACTCTTTAAAAAACTGTTATTGAACAGGCTTTTTTTACATATTTATCTATTACTATTTTTTCTAATTTTACAAGTATTAAGATATAAACATAGGGCAGAAAAAAAAACAACTTTTAACTGTTTAAAAATTTTCCCAAAAAAGAATTTGAAATAAAAGGGATATATATTAATGTGTCTTATAAAAACTATATTTTCAACCATGTTTAATTTTCCTCATAAAAATAATCCAGGGGAAAATATTGAAATATTTTTTTTGGTTTGAATTTTTTATTTATATATATTATATTAAAATGAGAATTATATCATCAATTTTTTTTAACTTAACTTTATTTTAAGTTTTAAATATTTTGTGCATTGCAATACAAACCGTAATAATAAATAAAAAAAATACGTATAGCTAAAAAGCATAACAATTTTAAAAAGAAATATTCAATTCTCTATAGAAATTTTATTTTTATTATTATTACAAAGCAAAAAGATATATGTTCGTCTAAAACATGGCGAAAATTATTTTTGTTACAAGATGAATATATGCATTTATAAATTACATTTCCCAAAACATTTTGTGGAAATTATATAAAATTTTATGCGTCATCTCAATCAAAAAATTTTTAACATTTGCTGATAAATTATTTTGGGAAATATAGCGTCTTTTGAAAAATCAAGCATTGAAAATTTAATAAATGTAGAAAAACACAATAAATACTATTCTTTGAAATATACCGTGGTGAGGTTCAAAGTCCTTCCATTGACGTAGTGAGGTAGTTTGGAGAGGGTATGCCAGCTCAGGGGTCGTCTTGTCACTTGACCATGGTTCAAAATTACGAGGTCCGTCGCCAATGCCCTCGTATTTCCTTATAGTGCGATTTAAATAAAATCTCACTCATTCTTGAAATATATGCAGAATAAAAATCCTAAACAGTTTTTTATAAAATGTACAAGATAAGACTAGAAATGCTATTAAAATTAGTGAAAATATAATCATCGAACAGTCGTCAGAGGATTCAAAGATTTATTTTTAAGCATACCATTACAAGTTTAGGCATTTGAAAAGTACTATTCTAGTACAAAAGGATATATTTTTGAGCAAAGAGTATCAGAAGAGGCTACAGAGCAATTGTAATTGGATCAGATTGTTTATCACTTGTGCCTTTCATTTATAGTTGCTTCTTCCCTTTCCACCCACGTAAATTGCATTAGTTACTTGTCAGATGACGGAACTTTCCATATCTAAATATAGTTACGGTTACAGGTTTTGTAGTATATGGAGCAACATTATATATCTTCTAACCTATTGCTGGACTATTAAAACCCACCACAGATTTTAAAGGAATAATTAATAAATTTTTGACTTCAATATTTAACATTAATTTTTTTTTTTTTTATATAAGTAAAAATTTTCAAGGAATTTGTGTGTGTGTGTGTGTGTATGAAAAACATGACTTTGAGAATGCATACTGTAGTTAATTAAAAAATTCTTTCAAGTACAAAGAAATGAAACAACTTAAAACAAACGAATAATATTAAAAAAAAAAACGTCAATTCCTAAGTAGGTCAACAAAGAAAATTTTTTATTTTAGTTAATTTTTATTAAGTAAAACTCACACAAACTCATTGGCGCAACAGCCCATGAGGGCCAGGGCCTACTGTGCCCATCCCAGTATACGTGACCATTGGGCGCTGAGGTACATGAGCAGAAATCCCGATCAGGTTTTCAGTCTGAAGCGAGACCACCAGTGTTTAATTCCCTAAGCAAGCTTGGTACTCATTTATCGACCCACTGCAGTAGGGATGAAGGGCTGATTCGACCTTGCCCAGTACAGGAAAAGAACTCGGACCTGTGGTGCGGAAGCGCGATACGCTACCACTCGACCACTCGACCACTGGGCTTAATTTTTATTAAATAGTTGCAATTAATATAAATATGCATATACATATGACAGAATCACAATATTAAATAACAAAATAGAAAGCGATTTTCCTTGCAATTTTTCTCTTTCCTTTCTATATAGGGTGTTGGACTATTTTTGTTTGTTTGTAACTATTTATTCATTAATTAAATTTAATTATTCTAGTAAAATAATAGAGCAAAAAAAGAAATCACATTTTCAGGAATTAGGCCATCTTAGGTGGGATTCGAACCCACGACCTTTGGAATATAAGTCCAATACACTATCCATTGCGCTACAGGGACGCAACGAACGATTTTCCTTTCTATATATGCTGATGGATTATCATTTTTGTTTGTTACTATTTATTCATTTTTTAGTTTAATTAATGAGTTAATATTTGAAAAAACTGTATTAACATCAAGTGTCATCCTCTACAAGTTTAAAAACATGTATTTGAACTTGAATGGATGAATAGAAAGTATTTTATTAACGATTGAAAATTTGAATAAGATAATATATATAAATAAATATATATAGGAATAGAAGTGAACCAATAGTAGGAATTGAATAAAATTATTAAAATGTACATACTTTAATAATTAATGCTTAAACTAAAATTTATGCTTAAAATAACTTTAATGCTTAAGTTTTTACAAAATTTAAAAAAAAGTACCGTCTCAGCTTTATTCATTGTATTCTTATTAAATAGATTTAAAAATATGCCATTTTTAAAAGTATTTATCGGGCTTACAATAAATTATACAACCCGGACAAAGAAAATTTTTATTTTTTATTTTTGGGCCATCCCTAAAAGGTCTTCCCTAAAAAGTATCTCTCGTCACTGTTTTATCCTATTGAGGAATATCTCATAAGAAAATGAAAGCTGTTGCATTTTTATCTCTGAAATCCTTACATGGTGCGTTTTAAAAGTGAAAAATGAATGCTACATATTTCTCTCGTTCACTAAAATTCAAGATTTGAACTGAACTGAACTCAGTGATGCAACAGCCCATGAGAGCCAAGACCTACTGTACCTATCTCAGCTTTCATGACCTTAGGCGCTGGGGAGCATGCTCATATGTTTCGGTTAAGTGGTCAATTTGACGCAAAAAATTTCAAGATCAATCGCAAGTAATATTTTCTGCTAAGTTCGCCTGAGACGTTGATTTCCTTTAACAATTTACATAAAATATGGTTAAAATATAAGCAATTGACTAAAAAATTTTAAAAACTAATAGTCATACAAATATTTTTAAGAAACTTTATTTTCATGCATGAGATTATTTAAGAGAAATCTTTTTTTTTTCACTCCGAAATGAGGTTTAATGATTTATTTTAAGTTAAATTTTCTGAATCTATAACCTTATATTCGAGTGTAGTTACATATTATTTTTTAATTTTATGGCACTGTGTTCGTAAAATAAGATTCTATTAATTTTGAGATAACATATTTACATAAATAAGATATAATTTGTTTAGATTTTGGGAATTTTTCAACCAAATGTGTACCAGTTGATTCAAAATTAGTATGACCAATTTTAAAAGCATATAACTATTTATGATACATTTTTATCGTTTTCCCATTGGTTTTATTTGAAAAATGAAGCATTTACATTACTAATCTAACCATTTTCATTAGTGAGAGTAAATTACAGTACTAAAATTATATATATAGATCTTCGAACCCGGAATGAAATGTTACAGCTTTTGAAGGATGGTTGTTCAAATTCCGTAAATAATAAAGCATTTAAAAATCAAAAAAGACATTTTTCTATTGTATTACTTTCTAAACTTCAAAAAGAAATAAAATTTGGCTCGCAATCAAAAGCTCCAGGGAAACGAAAGGAAATCCTTAATGAAAGAGAAAAGAAGTTGAATAGAATTATCACCTCAAAAACCAATGGCAAAAAAAAAAACTATAGGCATAGCAATCGACAATTTATCGTCAGATAAAGAAAATTGGCTATAAAAAAGTAAATTTTCCAGTCTGTTAAGACCATAGAAAAACGAAGAAAACTTTCTTGGCCTCTGTCTAATGTTACGCAAAGGTAGATACAAAGCATAGATAACTTCTGATGAAGCACTGTTTCATCTGTCATTCACAACTCATAAAACGAAGATTCAATTTATTTAAAGCAAAAAATATCGCAAGCACGCAGCTGTTTTGAAACATACAAATTGGTAGTCAGGTGTTATGGTATGGACGGAAATGTCCTCTCAAAGCTTAACAAAATCATTTTTTGTAGAACCAAACTTTAAAATTGGTGCTAAATACTATCAGAATAAAGTTTTGAAACACTTGATCAAAATAAGTAAACGTCCTTACCCTCAAGGATACTTTGTTTTTCATCAAGATTCTGCACTACGTCATACTGCAAAATCAACTATAAAATGGCTGAAAGATTAAAAAAAAAATTCCTGCCTCCTGATAAATGCCAACTACTATCCCCTCTCTGTGTTCCTTGAGATTTTATGGGGATACTTAAAAAAACAAACAATTAAAAAGATATAAAGTAAGACCATTTCAAGAACTTCAAAAAGCAATTTAAGAGAGTTAATTAAGAGCAATTTAATATCTGAGAGAGTTGTTTCCTGGACGTCTTCTCTCTTTGTGAGGAGACATCGCCTGACCCCCAACGGAAGTCACCTGATTTATCACCTTGCGATTTTTCTTTGGAGACACTTAAACGCGCAAGTGTACAAACATCGTCCTACTACCCTGTAAGCACCAAAGGAGACAATCACCCAGACAGTGGCTGCCATTCCACCAGAAATGAAACGAAGAACTATGGACAACTTTCGGGAAAGACTTCGTCAATGTGTCACCATTGGAGGACGACATTTAGCGGACATAATTTTTAAACCCAATCAATGTAAAATGGCATCTTATTTGTTGTTCAACAATAAAAGACTATTCTCTGTATCTTGTTTTGTTTGTTTGTAACTGCCTTTTGAAACAGGGGAGGTTAATATGCCGGACCCTGTAGAAAGATTTACTCTCTGAACAAAGGTCATATCACGCAGATGACCGCTTCTAAAGCACTTCCGGGGCATCTGAAGAACACTGGATCTCCTGCACTGTGGAGATAGGCCAGGTCTCATTATTTGTGTACCAGTGGTGAGCAGGAGGGTTTCCCCAAGTCAGATTCATCTCAACTCTGTGAAGGGAATGAATTTCAGAATGGCTCAAGACAGAGGAGGTCAGGGAGATCACAACTCTACCAGCCATCTCATCAGCGGTCTCGTTCCCAGATACACCCAGCAAAGGGTATTAAGCAGCGTCCCTTTAGGTAAGGAACCACTTGGGTGGAAGACTGACTAAACCTCATGCCTGATGGTTCACGGAAGGTATTTTATTTTCCTTCTACCATCTACTGGAAATCCAATAGAGGCATTCCCTGATCAGCCACCTAGGGACGCGCTCTGTAGAGGTGATAGGCTCTCCCCCAAGGGAGATATTAACTTTTAATAACAATCCTATATAAATGAACGCGCTTTTCTTCTTCTCTGAATGACTTATTATTACAAATTTTAAAGGAAATTGTTCAGAGGTAGTTTATTATTGCTTTTATACCTTAATTGCGTTTAGAAATAATAAGCATTTCTCACGAACGTCATTAATTTTTGCTACAATTATTCAAACTATTTTAATTACTACATATAATACTTTAATCTAAGTAACCATATTTACATATGCTGGATTCCATAAAATATAACTTTAGTATATTTTAAATTTTTTCTAATTAAGTTATAATGGAAGAAAGAGTATGATTATCTTTATAAGCGTCACAAAAATTGCGACATCTTGACAATATCTATATTCTTATAATAATACCATATAATCCTACTCTATTATAATAAATTGTAATAGGTAATAAAATATTTATAAATATTATTCATAATAAGGTTTAAAATTCAGCAATAAAGAAAATAGAAAATTTTAAACAATCCTTTACAAAATAATTGTTAAAGATTTAACATAATTCTTGGCATAATGAAAATTAAAACCACCATTAATAACTCGGAGGGAATCAAATTATGAAGCTAATATAAAATAATTACTGTAAACTAATTTTTAAAAACTACTCTCATTATTACTTATTTTAATTATTTCACAATTCAGTCGAGTAAGTTTAAAATTTTGTTTAAATCTGATCATCATACAAGTGAAAATACTTTAATAGGGGACTAAAATATTTTTTTGTGTTGAACGATATTGAAAACAAACAATAACATATTTCAATAAAATTAGGTTTATTAGAGTATATTTCACTTAAATAGATATGTATATATGCAAGTATTTAATAAAAATCAATGAAACAAAACATTACATGACTTTAAGGTATCCAAACGTTGGGAACCGGGTTTTTAAAAAAACATAAAGGGGAAAATTTTCAGGATATTTAATGTCTTTTAGATTAGAATACATGTATAAAATTGTTTTAAGGACATTTTGACAAAACATTTATTTAAATACAATATTTGGGAAAAAATTCAGAAAAACCCTTTTTTTAAAAATGTTCTCCTTTTGTAAAAAATACTTCTATTATAAAAATTTTTGCCTGTATATATCTCGATCTGTACAAAGGCTCAACTAGATTTTTAAAAAAATTACTTTTTCAAGTTAAACCCAATTGAAATAATTATCAGCGTTTTTTCCCCTTTTTGGGAAAAAACATGGATAAACCCACTTCTGTTATATATTTCAAACTATTACTGCATATATACTGCAGCATTAATTTAAAAAAAAACAACCAAATCACAATAAAATTGAAGCATTAAAGCATAAAAAGTTGAATTTCCTTATTTTTGCTAAATATGGTCTGAATAGATAATAAAAACTGTTTTTTTTTATTATTTCGTTCTTTTATATAATATTTGAGTTATTCCTTTTTGTTCTTAAAAAATTATTTGAATCACAAAGGGTTTTTGTATTTTTCTGTCAATGAACTTAATTTTACATAACATTCTCTAATAAAATGATTAAAGATTACAGTATAGCATTCACTTTTTTAAAAATAAATGGTTCTGAGTATGAACACAAAGATTAAGTAATAATTATAAATAACCATTGGCTTATCTGCTAAATAAGCGTATTTTCTCATTTTCTCAACAAAGACTACCTTTACTTTATCTATAGCTTTAACATGAGCTAAACGTCCATTGCTAAGAAGCAATGGAAATTTTTAATTTGTCGCAGCCAGAGCCGTTTGATTCAAATTTGTATCTATGATGCCGAACCCCTTTTGTTGTCATTCGTGAAATTCGGATGACATTTTATATATTCAGCGAGATTATACCC